GCAAACCAAAACAGGACATTGAAGAATTTAATTTTTTTTTTTAAGCATGGAGAGATGAAGTGCTGTTAAAGTTATAAGGCTAATGTCTGTTTTTTGCCTTTATTTTTCAAAATTTTTAAATTTAGAAGTCATAACGAATGACAGTTGAATGTTATTATTAAGAAGAACAAAAAGCAGAAAAATGGCATTTATTCTCAGATTCGATATAAGCTATATTTAATATCTTTTCATACTCGCCACTGAAGGATGGTAGTATACACAATTTTGATGAACGGGATACAAGTTTCATATTTCTTCCGTAAGCAAAATAAAGTTGTTTGTAATTCTGAATGATGAAGAAGATCTAGATCGTCTCTCGGCATCTCTGGCTTGATTCTAACAACCTAATGTCAAATACCAGTAAAACTAAAGCCATAGTTATTTCACCAGTTTGCAGCGATGTCTATTATCTGCCTCCTGTTAAGATGCGTGACGACGAGATCGAGTTTGTTGAGATGTGCGGGCTCTAACCTTGGTTATAAGTTCAATTCTCGTTGTGGATCATGTCAATTACATTGCGTATACAGAACATTTTAAGGAAGCTGTCGCTTTCTTCATATTATGCTCCCGTTATTACTAAATTGAGACTTGTTAAAGGTCTCGTCGTGCCGCTTACACCTTATAGTACGAATATTTGTGATCATTTAAATTCTGTCTCTAGCAATATGTTGCAGGGTGTTACTAACATGTGTGCCAGACACCTCTTCAATAAAAAGAGTATTGCAGTTCTCGCCTAAGATTCTTAATACTTATCTCCAAATCTACTTCAATCTCAGGAACCTACTCTTTTTGCATAAGCTCTTCCGTGCTCGAACACCAGAATATTTACGTGAAAAAATTCGGTTTGCTAGAGCGGACGATAACTATCTATTAACATTAAGACGAATGTCGTGGATATCAAAGTACCATGAAATTTCTAAATGATTATTGGATTGAAATTTAATCATCACGAACTCGTGATGAGTTACCTAATAAAACGAATTTATCACATTTTTTTTTGCCTTTTGAATTGCATTCATTTTATCTTATGACAACCTTATCCATCTCAACAAAAAAAAAGGTGTAGGTTTAACGTCATCGAATGTGCGTTCACTTTTTAAATATTGCGAGTCAACTAATTCAACTTCAGCAAATCCACATTTATCTTCGTGTTGTTGTTAATCCTCCTCTGGACTGACTTCTAAAGCGAATTTTTGTTTGCCTTTCAGTGAGTAGACAGCTGCATAAGCAGCCTTTATCTTATGAGGTCGCCTTGGGAGACATCCAAAAACTTGTTTTTGTATATTTTTCAATATTTTGGGAAGTATCGTTTTCAAGGCAACTAGGCAGTCTTTGCGTTGGAGAGAGTTATGCCGTCAAGTATCCGATTTTGGTAACAACCAAAAAAGCAGTTTTTCATTGCATTCATTGCAATCATAACGGATATCCGGTAAATTAATCTACTTAATTGCAAAACGTCTAACTATAAACATCGTACTACGGATGAATAAATTCAATATTTAATGTTTTCAAATTTTTTTTGATAGTCAACTCATAATTGCATTTTGAAATTTTATTACTTTCGTCGTCGAATGATGTAAAGAAATTTTCTGCCGAATTCCAGATCGAAAGCATATAAAATCTTATTAAACAGTTTTAAACAGTCTTAAACAGTTGATAAATGTAGCGAAATTCCGGATCGTCTTAAACAGTTGTAAACAGTTGTAGACACGTATGTGTGAGCATAACGTCACAAGTCAGCGAGGATAGCTTTTCGTTATTGTCATGATCCCGCTAGCAGGGCAATCTACTCAATATGTTGATGAAAAATTCAAATATGAATTGCCACGACATATATATATATATATAAAATTTGTGAATACAAGTTCTCCGTGTTGCTTTGTGGAACGTACATGGCACGTTCATTTCTTCCAAAATTTTTTATACACTTTGCTTATATATTGCCCGTTAGAAGCTATAAACTTCGGTTGTTCAAAAGTTGTTGTTCTGTGTATGAATGTCATCTATGGATGGCATCTGGTTAGTCTGTTTTGAAGAAGAAAAAAATGCAGTTCAAACTACGCAAACGATCAAGTCAGCTTGCGATGAAAAAGCCAAAAGCAATGAAAGAGTTAGAAAAGGGATGTCAACAAGTAAAAAACAGAGAAAGGATTTCCACACATGATACATAATATTTATGGTAAGGCAAACCCCACCTTCAGTGAATTTTACGTTATTGTTCAACTTTTTTCAAATGAAGTTCGCAACGCTGAACAGTGATTTTTACGGCAGGGTCTAGGCTTTATGTGTAGAATTCTTAGGAAATTATTTTCAGAAATTTAAAATTGCAAAGCTTTAATTCGCTTTGATAGTACAACTCAACTCCCTCGGCTCCATCGAACTTGCCTTCGGCAAATATGCCGCAGGTTACCATTAACTAAACTCATCGCGACATGTTTATCTTAATTCCTTTTTCCATTAAATTCCTCCTAATTCTTGGCAATCATTCCGCGAGATGCCAGCTGCCTGGGAGAACTGAAGCGTTGTAATTGTGTCTTTGGTTTTTCTTTTCTTTTGAAATTTCATTTCTGCAAAATCGATTCTTTTTCATGAAAAATTTAAATCATGTCAGGTTAACGGGCATGAAACTTGTAGTTTACAATTTTTGCGAATGACTGGTTTTTTTTCTTTCTTAAGAAGTTACACATGCTGCCCGTTGAAATAAATAATTCCAAGCTCTAAAAAATGTTATTAACTTTTTTCAAAAACTTTCTTCTTTTTTTTTTTTTTTTGATAATGGATCGGTTGGAAATTCGTGCTGTCACGAGGTATAAGCTCTTACGTGCAACTACGGCATCGTAGACCGTTCAAAAAAATAAATAGCGTAATTGGTTCTAGTATAAGTACAGCAGCAGACAGTGGTTTGCCAAATTTTGACCTCATAAACGATTCAGTGACGAACTAAAGGTCACCGTTGAGTCTAATCCACATCAATGCGCTTATGAATTATCATCAAAATTTGGTGTTAGCAAACAAACAATGTTAATTTATTTAGCTCGAATCGGGTACGTGAAAAAGTTAGATAAATGGGTGCCCCGTGAATTGAATGGAAACAAAAGCATTTGGAAGCTTGTTTGATGTTGCTTTCTCATCACTAATCTGATTCACTTTTGAATTAAATAATCACTTGCTATGAGACATGGAGTCAATATGGCAGTCCCAAACGTTCAGCTCATTGGTTAGAGTAGAACTAATTTCCTAAAAACAACATATTCCAAAAGCGTAGTGTACGTTAGAAAAAGTTGATGATGAGTGCTTGGTGATCTGGCGCCGGTTGGTTCATTAGGATTTCATGAAACCAGGCTCATCGATCACAGCGGAAATATATTGTAATTAATTAACTAAGAGAAACAGCCCAGATTGGTCAACAGATTGAATCCTATCTTATTGCAAGAACACACACTACGCAAACGATCGTAGCACAGCAACACGAATTGGAATGGAATGCCTTCGCCGTCATCCGTACTCGCCAGATTTAGCTTCCAGTGACTAACACTGCTTTCGCAATTTGGATAAATACTTAATAGGAAAAAATTTCAGTTCCGATAATGCAGTAAAACTGGCCTTTCAGGAATTCATAGACTCTTGTCTGCCAGGATTTCATAGCACCGGCCTGAACAAACTGCCGCTTGAAAGGCGCAAATGTCTCGCATATTATGATAAATAAAATAATTTTTTAACATTTGCAAATTTTGAATAAACTTTGTCTTCGCTTTTTACAAATTTCATGCCGACTATTACCTGCCCTACACTACTTCGCCTAATACTCACTCATCTCACTCACTTTGGTAATAAAGCACCAAAAAGTAGATTAGACTTTCTCGCCTGTTTATGTTGCCCACCGTTATTTTTTTTGCTATTTTCAACAGCGTTCGTCCTTGGACCAAAGTACGCCTGGATACCAAATTTCATCAAAACTATCTCAAATGTTGTGACCTGCACCTTGAACACAAAAATACATGGACAGATATCAGGCGGACAGACAGGCTTAGGTCTATTTAGAAAATGATTCTGAATCGATCGGTATATTGAAAGGTGGGTCCGACTTAAGCTCTTCTGGGCGTTACATACGTCCGCTCTAATTTAATATACCGTGTGCCACAAGTGGTGTAGGATATAAAGACACATTTATTCATTACAAAAAGAGTTGATAGCACAAATGTGCATATTACACAAAAAAAGTAAATAAATAAATAAACAACAATATGAGCACATCTTTAAGACCTTTAACCTACCTAAAGCGTCAATAGTAAGTTTTAGCTTACACTTCAAGCTCACATTTTCGAGAGAAGAGAATCGAGGAAATGCAATTAAAGTATGGAACGAACAATGTAATTATCGGAATGTACTGTCGGATAGCAGGAAAAATCAATTTTTTCTTTGGTGGGTTATTTTCGTATAAAGAGCTACATATTACCTTTTACATAGGTAGCAAACCGATAGGCGTCATTTTTTATTCAGAAAATATTGCCCTAAAAAATATTGTCAGATCGATGCCGACTACAGATCGCAAGTTATTAATGAGTACTATCTTCAACGTTAACGTAAGCACTGATCAAGCAAATCAAAGTTCACTTTACTAAATTCATTCAAAGAAATGCATTTATATGGTAAGCGAAAATCATTTTTGAACCTTTAGGTTACACGAAATTTCCATACATTCTTTTTTAAAGTGTGAAGTGTTCCTTCAGAAACCTGGTTAACGTTTCCAACAAGCAGTTATATATATATACATATAATATAATCGCAAAATTGATTCTTTAGTCTTGAATTTCCAAATCATTCGGTAAACATATGTATGAAATTTTAATCATTTTCATTTCCCTTTCAATATGAAATAAATAAATGTATTTTAAAAGAAAAAATATTCATTTATGATAATTTACAAAAAAAGGAAAATTTTGTGAAGGAAATAAATCGCGATGAGATTATTTAATATTAAAAATTTTTACATATATTTTGGTCACCGTTTACACAGACGCTTATATTCGTCGAAGGTAAGATTATCGGGTAGATAATGCTGTGATCTATACCTAATAATTGATTGACAAAATTTTGTCCGCAGAATGCTCCGTCTCCGGAATATTTAACAAAACTGCGCGAATGCTATCGCTTGGAAGAGGATAATAACATCGTGGTGCCTGTATTTAAAAAGGCATTACTGTACGGTAACAATATAGCCATACGTGATCATGCTGGCGAATATTCCTATTTCCAATTGTATTCAAATTCAAAACGGCTGTCCCGGCAAATTGCTAATTTATGTGGTAGTGATACGAATTGAAGGAATTATGAATTGATTTGACTTGAATTTCTTCTTTGGCCATCTTTTATAGGTAGTGGCTCCTCATCGACCGTAGCATTCTTCTATAGCAATGATGTCCTAAGCACTTTAACGTTATGGGCCTGTTGGATGTGTGGCCAGGTGGCCATGCCGCTTAGACTCGATTTCTCATGTTCCGGTTTAGTGAATCTTTTAAAATTATCGAAGACTCGTTTATTGGTAGCTCCCGAAAAATATGGCAATCTATCGCGCAAGCTGGCCTATCAATTGGATGTACCTACACTATGCTTGGATCATATGTTTATAAAAAAGCATAATCTTCCCTTTAATTATAGTCGTGAGATATTTATGAACGCAAATTTGGTGATTCTGGAGGGAACCCTTACCAACGATTTTTATACGACTTTTGACGCCCTGCTATTGAATACCTTGGGAAAAATTAACAAGCTGAAGACAGCAGTGCTGTCACATAAAAATTTGAGCGTTCAAATCAAATCAGCTGCGAGTGCTTGGCAAGTTTCCGCTGAGGATCGGGTATTTCAGATTTTCAATTCAGACCATATTAACGGTTACATAAACGCTACTCTGTTTCCGCTGGAAGCTGGAGGCACCGTCCAAATGCATGAGCCATTCGATGCCAACAATTGTTGGAGCACGATTTTAGGCATAAATACGCCGCAAAAAGATCGCGTCAACATTCTTATCGCTGAACCGAAAGTTTACAATGTCCTTATCACAGAATACGAGAAGATCTTCTTAAAGAACAGCCGAATGGTGGAATTTATTAAAAACTATTGCATGCGTAATTTTCGCTTAATGATCAGCAGTTTTTCACCATTGCCTCAGCATGTAGCCAATCGTTGGTTTGAAATTACCGGACATAACATTATGGAAAGCCTCTATATTACGGAAAGCGGCATTACTCTTCGTTACAATCCTCAGCACGATCAAGCCAACACGCAGAAACAAAATCATGTAACTTTAGCCTTCAACAATACTTTGTCCGACGTCAAAGTGCGCATAGTGGATAATAGCAACAGGATTATTTATGATTCACAAGATCTAAAGGTCCATACACGGTACTTGGTTGACTCGCCAACTATTGTTGGCAGTCTGTTAGTGGCCGGACCTGGGGTATTTCGAAACTACCTAAATTCGGAGAAGCCCTCGAATGAGAAAGAATCGTATTTTAATACCGGCGATATCGTTTGTTATGAAGATGGCTTATTTAAGCTTCTCGGTCGTTGCAAGGGCGAAGAGCGCTTTAATACCCTCACTACAATGACCGACATTGAAGAATTTTATTCCAGATTAAATTTGCATCCTTCTATTAATTTTGATAAACTGGAAAATAGAGGGGTTGTTTATGCCATTAAACCCAATCAACGGATGTCGCTGAAAAGCCTAAAACTATTTTATGCCATCATTTTAAAAGAATATTATCGGGCTATAGTATTCCATTTGAATACGAATAAATAAAATGTTTCTTGTTTTTCTTTCTTTCCATAAAAAAAAAAAAAAAATCTTTTGTTCTTCAAAAATAAAATTGATTTCTTTCGGAAGATTAATATCCATTCGTCAAGAAAATTGAGAGTGGTCTGTCCATTGAACAAGTTTGTGGCATTTCGAAAGGCGAGGAAAAGTCTTGTACCTTTGCGTACGAGAGAGAAGAGAAGACAAGGAAGGAAGGGAATATATGTGAATACATTTGTTATTTTGTATTTTTATTATTATTATTATTGATATCTTTTTTTTTTTTTTTAATTCTCTGCCTATCTCTGTATTTTGTGTTGGGTGTTTTTATTTATTATATAAAAATTGGGTATTGATGCTGCTGTTCTGGTTGTTTTATGATTGGAGTTAATTTTTGTGTCGTCATTGAAATTGTTGAAAAAAACTCTTTTTTTACTGGCGGTCAGTGGCGCGTAATTTTTCTTCCACGGCCTCGCGGGAAGCTTCAGATAGATCAGTGGCCTGTATATATTTTTGTATACCAACCAGCGATTTTTTCAAAGCATCAAATGAGCTAGAATACAACATCTTCTTCTTAACCTAAAATTGACAAGAGTGAATGCGTTCATTACAAGATTATCTTATGTGAATTTTTAAAAGATTACTTACTTTGGCAGTATCGGGGCACCATGACATTAGGAAGAGTTTCTGTTTTTTCGAACTTTCCGAGGTACCCTGACATTGATGCATATATTCGAAATCGAATAAGCCATAGCTACAAAACCAATTTGTATAAAATACAACAAATGACAATATATATTATATTTACATCGATCAAATCCTTTATCTACCCACCAAGCCGCAATTTTTTTCTTTTTTTTTTTTTTGGGTCAAATGAGTTCACTAGAACCATTTCATAAAACGCTTATGCAATGAAACGATTTTAACATTTCCTATGAATTTTTGCCCGGAAATAGCCAAATAGATGACATTTTCGCTAAAAGTTCTAAAACTTCTCCACATATAAAACCATATATGATATCGCCCCGTCTTCCATTTAAACTTGTATCGTAGCTTAATAACTAATAGACGGATGCGGAGCGAAGGGTAAATTTATACGGCATGCGTAAGGAATAATTATGAAAGAAAGAAATATTTTAATAATTTAATTCCTACAATTGCGGTTTATTTTGGCTTTCTTTGATTTTTCAGTTTCACTCGAAGTCTCATTATCAATGATTGAACGTTTTTGTCATCATTTACGTTCACCATAGAAAGTTTACATGAGCGAACGGCAATTGAGGGCCCAATGATTGCACAATTATCGACTTCGAAAAACAGAATTAACTCAACGATTCCTTAGCCAATAAAACGTGAAAGTGCAAAACAGCTTTCCGAAGAATAGCCAACGCCGTATCGTACTATGCGATCGGTGTGCTGTATATTTGAAAAAGTTGAAAAGTTGTAATAGTTTCTTTTGGGTTTAGATTTTGAGGCAACATCGCAATGCTCACTTTACATGTAAATAACGGCCGGTTTAAAACTCTTGAGTAAGTACTAGAAAACCTTTTTCCCCAGTTTTTATGAACTGTAGAGAGAAGATAAGCTCAAGTTAATAAGTTTTTCGATTAACTTAAAACGACAGAGTTGTAGAAGACATGCGTCAAAAATTTGCGACTCTTTGAAAACTATTGGCTACTGATTAATCTCTTTATTTAACGTGGCCAATTTCAGTCCGTTTACAAAGAGCATTTGCTTGAAATGTTCGGGCTCTGCTCAAATTTTGCAAAATTTCAAATGGTTTTCAGCAGAAAATCTGTCTATGCAACAAGAGCGACTGGAGGATTATATATGATTCATTGATAAACAAAGCCAAATTATCGTGCTTGGGGGTGAGTGTAAGAATTTCTCGGCTTTTTATATTTGAGAAGCAATATTTTTTCCATGCAAACTAACCGGCACTCTCCAGGTCCGCACTTTTGAATATCTTCCAGGAATTGATCGTACTCGGCATTGCGTTCTCCAACAGTCTCAACATCGATTTGTTTCTCATCGCGTATATAAAAAATTACATATCTATGTTTTTTGTCCTTTTTAATCTCTTCATAGGTTGTTTTGCATACATCCGATACAGTGACTCCAGAAGCCTAAAACGGGTAAAAGATTAAAAAGAAAATGATAAATGACAACAAAGCCATTTTCAGTGATGACATTTAGTTTAAATATTGTAAGCTTTCTTATGTGCATTAGAGTATACGAAAAAAAAAAACTTTTTTTTTTGAAAATAAACATTTCACCATTCAGATGAAAACGGGTATAATATTCTTGTTCTAGAAAACCTATTATTGTTACTTATGCAGGCTATGGCAAGTAATCCTTCAGATTGTAAAAAATTTGTTAAGGAAAAAAGTTCACCACCAAGAAATTTTCTTCGCTTTTTGACATTTAAAATTTATATTTGTGCATTGAAGTGTTGTTTTTTGTAGTCGACGCGATTATCGGAAAAGCAAATTAAGAATATACTGCGTAATTTTGTAAAAAAACAAAAGTTAACATAATCTTATCAACAAGTTTCCAAAACCTTAGCGGAAAAGTATTTATTAATTTACTTAAAATGGGAAAATGGTGAACTTCGACCTCGTTTTCTTTTCTAAGGTCTTGTAGTATTCCTTTAATTACATGAAAAAATAACGTTACTTAAACGTTTGGATGTCCGAAACATCGATGGGCTTGAACATTATCGTCAATAATTAATGAAACTTTAAAGTGAAGGCTTTCGTTCTAATTCGCTGAGCCATCAGATTCTTTTCTCATAGGTTTTTCGTCTAACGAACCGATCTACAACGTTTACTCATTCATTTTCTAGAACCTTTTTCTATACCTTTTTTTGCAAATCTTCTCCTGTATAACAATATGCAGTCGTAATGTATTTTACTTTATTGGCCTAGTCTTCAAAAACAAAAGTTTCCTAAACAACGAAAAAGTGATTACTTTCGCAGCTTTCGTAGCTGTCTCTTTAACCATCGTTTCTTAAAATCCGGTTGACTGAACTTGTTAATGCAGAATTCCTAAGGAATCAAGTGCAGAGAAGTCGCATAAAAAAAGACTTTACTGTCCACATTTACACATTTAGCGAGAAAAAGGAATGAAAGAATTCTGCAGCAGTTTGTGCTAAACTTTTTACTTAATCTAATTTAACTTAATAAACACTTCTGAAAAAGTTTAAAATGGAAGCGTAGCGATCCCCGAGCGCAATAATCAATAGCAGTTATTACCATTAGCACATATTTATTCGCTTTATATTTTAAACGAAATATATACGTATACGTAGCCCGTTATATTTTCGACAAAGGAAATAAAATATACTTAATATACAACAAAACAAATATTGATCCTGTGCATAAATTTCCCCAAAATGAAAACCACATTCATGTTCACCTAATTATTTTCTAAAGCTAGAACGAGTCATAAGCTTATATTAAATCTATATGAAGTTCACCCTTATATACGAGATATTTTATATATTACGCAGAATTGAAATATCAAACGGAACATAATCAACCTTTCACTTGTATTCATTGATACACAGCTTAAACAATCCCACCACCGTAGAGTAAAAATAATACTCCCATTGCATTTGTGCGTGAATACGTGCGAATGTATGTATGCACGTATGTATGCAAGCGTGTATGTAAGTATGTGTGTGCGTGTGTATAAATTTGTAAATGGCTGCATTGACAAATATATAAATGACTAATCCTTTTTTGCGTCATAAGTTACCGAAAATCTGCACAACTCTCTTTGACATCACAATATCCGATTGCAAGAACATCATAGATGTGTATACATATATATATTATAAACAACGGTAACAGTGTTACCATAAGTTTAATTTAAAAAATATTATACGAATTTCGCAAAGCGCCAGTTTCCCAAGATCAAGCAAACTTTATCGTAATTCTTGCGTTTAAATTTATAAAATTTGGTCAGAGAGTCGACGCATCAAGTGCCGAGTTTACATCAATCGATAAAGTATGAATTTTTCTTATTTTCAAGTGAAAAATATGTCGACTGGTTACAAAATCGCTGCCGAGCAGCATGTTTAAAAAGGAAAGGAAGGTAAACTAATACGAATGCGTATATTTAAAACAATTAATAGATATAAAGACTACGTCGTAGTTAACCATCTCATTAACGATAGAAAATCCAAAATACTGGCAAAAGAAAATAATTATTTTCGACGCTCTTCTCTTTTTCTCTGGTGCTATCAAAACAATTTGTTTGGTTTGTTGTTTTGTTGACTTATGTACTTTCTTGTCCTTCCTTGGTTTTATTTGCTCACACGTTGATAATATCACAAAAATGTTTCCTTGTTTATGTCTCAACTGAAACATTTTTTTTTTGGGTTAAATAGCAATTGAGTTGCATAAACGACCTATCACAAAACGATACTATCGAGTGCTCACTCAATATCAATTACCGTAAACTGGTCCTAGAGGTAATTTAGCTATATTCATTAGCTTCTATTAAATTGCTAACATAATTTTGAAGAGTAAAATGATCTATATACATTCTTACTTAACATTAAATAACGAAAAAAAACAGGTTCAAGGACACTCACTCGAAAATACGATCAGTTAAAATTTATAATGCTACTTGATTCAAATTCTACAAAAAAAGCACGCTTTCTAAAAAGTTTTATTTTTCTACTTATTCAGAAATTTCTGAATGAAAAACGTCCATCTGTGGGTTGAGATGAATGTCACCTACTTCATAAATCGTCCACAAGATGCCCCTAAATATGTACATAAACACTGCTTTTGAAAGCTAATATTAGGTTAATTGTGTTGAAAATGCTTTTGCTTTATTGTCGTCAACCTTCGTTAGTAAGTCATATTCGGTGACTTTCTGTTGCTTCTGGACTTTGTCGATTGATTGGACATAGATTTTTATTCCAAGTTTCATAGATCGTAAATTATTAATTTTAATTTCCACTTATCCTGTGGGTTTGATGACAAATTCCTTCAGTTTCCAAACTTGGTTTGTGAATCCAAACTAAGCTCGCTATGCAAGCGACATTTGCGGTACAACGAGCTTGATTAGGTGAAATCAGAATCAAGAATGAATGCATACGTCCGAATGTCACAAGAAAAACTAAAGCTAACTAATATTTAATTAGAATTATTTTATACATATAATGGGTCGGACCACTTTGCTTTGAAGGGCTATATCATCAAGTCTTTAGAAAACAAAGTCGATTCGAAGAGGACAAAGTTTCATATTTTTTGCATACATTTATTAATTTTAAATAAAAGCATGCAAAATTTTTGTCCCGAAATACGATTGTTACAGTAGTGGAAAAAATTTTATAAGATGGCAATCCCGTGTTGATGAAATTAATTTCTATTCATATGTTAAGAGAGTTTTTGTATGAGCGCAAACTCACTTTTAGATATACTGTATCTCTTAATCTTCTTTGACAATAATATATATTGTAGTTGGCTTGCCGGTATTAACATTTTTTACCTCTTTTTAGCATCTACCCATTCAACGAATGGCAGTTAGTAAATATGTTGACAAACTTTTATAAATAAAGAGAGATTTGACTCGTAGCACTTCCATGGGTGTGTTTGTACATACGACACACGCAATATGGGCATATATACATATATGTAATGTGGAATCCGAATAATTAAGAGAGGCAGAAAACAAAACACAATGAAATGAAAAAATTTCAGAATAAACATTAGACATATTAATCATAACGGATATTTCGCTACTTGAGCATTCATCAGATAGGGTCACAAAACGCTCCTTCTTGCTATTACTCATCAACTTGCGCATATTTAAGTAAGTTTCTATTATTTTCTTTCAAACTCCGCGATTTTTTTTCTTTATACCTACTATTGCTTTTCTGAGCTTTTTTTTTTCTTTTATAACCATATAAGGAAGCACACATACATTCTAATATTAATGACTGGCTGACTGACTAACCGGCCTGGATGATTGCACGAAATACATGGTGGTAACTGACTCATTACAATATATAGTAAAACTTTTTTCTTTTTTTTTCGCTCTTTATTTCTCCGTCTATCTAACCCCCTTTGGCTGGTAATATTACTCCTTATATATAAATCAGAGAAAATTCATAAAAACAGCCAATAAGAATTATTTACTTAAATATATATTTGTATATGAAATATTATATAGATTTACACATAGAACGCCAACACTTTCCCATAAGTATGATTTTTTTAAATCACGCAAAGAACAATTTGTTTTTCAAGAGGTTATAAATATCTACGAAGACTCGACGCGTGTGTGGGTATATTAAAAATTCATAAATTTGATTTTTTCGACAATTTTTCTAAAACGACCACATGCTGTTCAATTTAAAAATAGCCTAATATGGCCACAAATATATCAGAAAATTAAAGAGAAAAAAAAAGAAGATATCATCGTAGAGATTAAGAGAATGAGAGAAGCTTCGATAGGAACTGCACTACTATATTATAACCGCTTTTTCTTGTTAATGTATTTTATAATTATTCTATATGTATTAGTGTAAATGACGATTATTTGTATTGAAATAAAATATATGTGAAAAGTGGTACGGAAAAAAATTAACGTCAATTTATATTTTATATTCTACTCCAATTTGCAGATTCACATTTTTTCAAAAGGCACACACGCACTGTATAGTATAGCCGACGAGATTTTATGTATATGTATATTCCCATTCGCACATATATATTTAATCATGAACGTCTGATATCCGCCGTCTATATAAAGATACACACGTATATACATGCGTGCATATATACATACATACATATATGCACATTTCGTATCAGTTCGAATTTTCAGCGAAATTTCTTCGTATTTAAATGGGAATTTTTGTGTTATTGGCTCTTTTGCACCTTCCCAAACAAAATTAGCGTATTCTTTCTTTGACTTTGTAAAAAAAAACTTACCATCTTTTTTTACACCAATTGTAGTAGACGCTAAACACACAATTCTCCTTTTTAAAAAAATTACGGAATCTTCCGACCTCAACCGACTTTTATACGAAAAGTAATTTATGCACTATCGAGGCGTCTAGTCTATACTAAAGAAGAGAAACTAGCGATTTTACAATCGATAGCTTTCTTCAGTTACTATTAGCGATAATTTTTGCACGATTTCTTATCATTAAAAATCATCTGCTTCACTATTAAGATTGGAATAGTTGGTAGGTGTTGGTTAAAAAAATAAAATTAATAGGATAAAATATTTGATGTAGACTTTTACTTAAGCATGGAAATCTATACGTGATAAATGTCTTTAAAATTAAATACATTCACATCTAGATAAAGATACGAAAACTAGGTCCTTGTTGGTTTTCTATTCCTAAAGGTAAAAAGGATTATGCAAGAATACATAATATCTTCTTGTATAATTTGGAATGTCGGGAAATTCATTAGAACTACACATAAAAACCTTAAATATCATATTTATCAAAGTTTCAAACAACTATCGATTGTTTCTCATCTCTAATCTCTCTCAGGGCGTTGTCATACATAGGATTGCCAAGTTTCGTTGGGTGTTTTGTTTCCATTATTGTTCTTATACAAGGAATATGGCTAGTATAATTATTTATAAAGATTACTAAATAACTGAAAAAGAAAAATTTGGCCTCCGTAATCTAAAAACCATTTTTAAAAATTCCCATTTTTTGAATTTTCTTATCATATGCTAGATTTATTTCAATAACTAAAAAGTTACGATTAGTGGTAACATTTTAAATAAATAATTTTCTAATGTATTCACATTCTTAAAGTGAAGGAAATGGTGCCAAAAAATTTAATTCATTTTATACATAATTATAATAGTTTTACAATTGCCTGCAACTTTCGAAATTAACATAATAAAAGTAGAAAACATTTTGAAGGAACAAAGTGCCGGTTTTTACACAATTGGAGTGAATTTAATACTCAAATCCGATAGCCTGTGTTGCTAGTGCTGTCTTTTTTTTAGTCTAAGAATTCAATTCATTAGTCTAAAATTAAAATAATAATAATAATAATAATACTCAAATCCGGTTCGTTTATTTGACAAGTTTCAAAAGAAAAGATATGCGCATTGAATCAGAGTCAACTTTCTGTCACAAAATATCATTTTTCAAGTATGGCACATTAATTGGATGATGTTCCATTAAAGATTTGTGGTAGCCCTAATCCGAAAAAAAGAATACTTTCGAAACCAAAACCAATTGTTTTCAATAAACTCTGCTTTGAAAGTAACAAATTTATTAAGGTTTAATGTTTTTTTCTTAAGTCTCCAACTATTTTAAACTTTCTGGTTCATTACACATGTTAGCTTTTGAAACGATGTTTAAATTTACATACTTTAACGGAGTGATTGTTAAATAAATATAAACTCACCAAATTTTAAATATAAACGAGAATTATGCAAACTCCCTGTTCTTTTTAATAAGTTTTCACGTTCATAAAAATGCTTTTATTATTTTACTAAAAATATTATTGTTTAAAGTAATTGTTGGCACCGCTGGTGATTCTTTTGTAAGGTCGAACACGAGTGCGTTTGGAAAATGATTTAATAAAACTCTTCTCCTTGTTGTACTCTAAAGGCTGATAGAGTGGACCCTCAGTCTCCAAAAAAATATCAAAACTGTACATAGTACGCAAAAGCTGAGCAGCCAGCAGGTCAGGGGTATTTTTTGAATCGCACAACGAATTTGTCCAATGTTCCATAAACTATTTAATGCCATAAATAAGAATACACAGATATTTATATCAAATAAGACAAGAAATGAAAGTTAACAGCTCTTGTAACAATTAAAGTTAAAAGCTTTTCAGATTATGCTATGTCTCCTTAGGAACACATTGCACAGTATGCAACACATTTCCAAAAATTTTTCTAATAAAAAAAAGCGTTTGTCACGGTAATAATATATGTTCATATATCCTTCGCCAACAACACAATCTCGCGGAAGGAATGACGCCTCGAGTTTGTTTCCAAGGAGAGATTTGTGATCAATAATTGTCAAAGCCTACTGAAGAAGCACAAGTAGCTCGACCACTCCTTTCGTTTCTGACTCATCGTTGCTATAAAATCGGACAAAAGTACATATTTGTAGATTCACTAGCGAGACTTGAAAGAGGATGACATTTGTTCTACCGGCACGTCAATTTCTACCCATATTAGAAAAAAGCCAAGAATGATGTCGCAATTATTATATCATGACCATTCCTCTGATGCAGGGTGCCTGCATAATCTAGTCCAGGTAGATAATGTAGTTTAAAATGGACCTAATTATGTTCCTTTAAAGATAACTTTCCTTTCGTACGTGTTATGGTTTTCAGATCAGGAATATGATAAAAACAATATTTACCTTAATAGAAGAATTATTAAGTGCGTTATGGTGCCCATTCCAATGTACTGTTATAATCCAAAGAGGAGCATTGTGAGGATATTTATTTGATATGCTAATCAAACATTCCATTTTGGCTGAACTGAAAACAACTACAGCACGATAGAAACTAAAACTTGCGTCGACTAGTTCTTCTTCTATGTAACGCATAGTTGTTGTGTTGGCCTCATATTCCTCCCAATTGAGTGCAGACCACTGCACTAAGCTACAATTCGGTTTGCAATTTGCTGCCTTACCATCCATGTAGTTATCCAAATTTTTATTCATAAAAGCCTTAATTTGTGTTGATAGGCACAGCCGTGAATTCCAATAAAGCTTTATGCGTTTGACGACATCGGCGGCGAATTCTTTTATTTTTTGATTTTGTGAATTAGTAGTTTTAGGAGTGTTCAGCGACGATGTGCCGCACACTTCCTGTACCCAACGATAAGGTTTGCCGAAATTATGCAATCCCAAGTAATCATAAAATTCCTCCGTCGTTAAATTCTGTTTTTCGATCTGAAAAAACTCGATATCATTTACGGCTAAATTTTTTATTATTGCCATTTATTACTTTTAAATTGATTTCAGCGTATGGCATAATTTCTCCTATGTCATTTTCGCATATATATTTTAGGAAATCTTGTAGAAGATTGGTCTCAGCAATGGCTATGTTCGACTCGTTAAATCCTATATCGCAGTAACCAGTAACCAAATCCAGCAAAGAAAAATTGTAAAAGTTTACAACGATGGAATCATTCATAAAATCGGGATCTTGAATCTATAGCATTGCAAACGAAAATTATACAAAAAGCCACGAAAGCAAAAACATTAGCAATCTTACCTTCATTTGCAGATATAAGGGATGTGGTTGGAAGAATTGATCCTTTTCTAAAGAGGTTATATGGGTTTGCTTTCGTTCCGCTTCATAATTTTTAACTTCATCCTCGCAACCCATTACATTGATTTTAAAATGTATATCTTCCATTTCAATTAATCGTAAATTTACGTATGCCAAGTATAAACTAGGCGGTAATAAATGCACTTTGTAATCTAGTTTCCAGATTTGCTCTAATGGCAATTGCAAAGCTTCCTGCAGCGGTTTGGTTGCCTTCAAAAGTGTGCGCAACGAAGGAGCAAATGTGGCCAAATTTTCCATTTTCGTTATAATCTCATGAAAAACTTTAGTCTTCGCATTTAATAATTTCGCACAATCATCAGAAAGCTGCTTACGTAGAGTTAGTTCTCTTTCTAATCTTGCTATGCGCTGTTTGTGACTTGATTCCAATTCGTTTACTTCACCTGAATCTGGCTCGCATATGTCAATGTCTTCATCCTGACTTTTGAACTGATAACAATGACGTATTTCGCGTTTTAAATAATTCACTTCATAGAGAAGATTCTGCAAATGCAAACGATTATTGTCGACGAGCGACTTTTGAGACTGCAATTCTTCTCGTCCTGCACGCACTCTGTACTTAACCATTCGGTTGATTTTCTTGATTAACACAAATAGCAAAGAGCCCAATTTCAATTTTTCATCTAAATCGATTTTCTACAAAGTGAGTGAACATTATGTTATTTGTTTTCCACATTTGAACTGATTTACCAAAGCTTTTCATAACAAAACAGAAAAAAATCTAAAATTTAAGGCTTATGTTTTGCAACTATAAATAAATACTTGACATTCATAATAATGCGCTAAGCTTGTTTTCGATTGATACGAAAATTACTAAAATCTGAATCACTGAGTTGGTAAGTGAAATGCAGAAGTTCATCGCATTTGCACTGCAATGAACTTCTAAAGTCAAAATTTACTGTTTATCTCGGTTTATATTATGCTGTAAAGTTTTTGAAAAACATAATATTTTAGTCGTTTTTAGTTCTTTGCTTGAAAGTTTTTGAACAATCGTAATGTTGGATGCAGAAGTATATGTGTGAGTATGTATATGCATGTATATGAGATTATTTTGGAATATAGCATTTTGACCGGTATCTCTAGACTCTCTCTCTATTTTCAACACATTTTTTTTAACAAAGACTACGTATAGATTTTTGTATTTTTAACAAAAATTACCTATAGATTTTTATATTTTTAACAGAGATTACCTGTAAATTACAGGGTAAAGTAATAATAAATTTACCGTATTTGTGGGATTGCTTTTGGCTGCTAAACAATCGCTAAATAATTGTCTCAATAAATTAAAATTCTCATTCAGCATCTCAGCCATTTTTAATTTAGATATAATTATATACAATTATACACAATTTATATATATATATTTTCTTTTTGGATTGTTGGATGGATATGAAACACAATTTATATTTAACTGCGACTGCAATTCTCAGTTTACACAACAAATTCAACTAAAAAAAACAATATATGCCACATTCGAAAATTAGAGATGATAGAAAATTGATATTGCGGTTTCGATAGCTTTTCTATCATCCAGTGCTTATGTGTGTCATAATTGTCGCGCAAAACACAAAATTATATAAAAAATATCCAAGAGGGCGAAGAATCAAATTCATTTTAATTTTTTGCCGCCCAATAGCAGTGTAGGCTAGTATCTTTCGGTAAAATGACATTTAAAACAAAGGTACTGTTAAAAGTAATTTTTTGCAGGTGTAATTAAGTGTGATACGTACCAAATAACCGTTTCTTCTAGTACCAATTAATTTGTCAATTCATATTATACAAAAGTAGTTTTTTGAATTTATTATTATTTTATTTTGAACGTATTATCCCTCACTTGTAAATCTAACAAGCAAGAAAGTTAAACTCGACTGAGGCCGAATTTCACGCATCCACAACATTAAAATTAAAATCTTTGCGGCCCATGCTTTTGTATATTGCCTTAAAAAATGAATAGGATAAAATTTACCGGTCATCTTTTTGCTCACTAAAAAGTATTATTGAGAACAACTATTCCGATACGTCGTGACGTTTACCACAACTAACTCAGAATTAACACATTTAGCTTGTCGCATTTTATTCTCCAAGCACTTTTATGTGATACTTGGAACAACGGTATTGTAACGAAAAAATTAATCCACTGCGTCGTAACGCCCACCATAATCTTTAACGGATTTTTACGAAATAGGTTTAAATATTCTGTCTTGTTTAACTTGCCTTGTGTGTGTGGCATACATAATAGTAGTAGAGTTTTGCGTAAAGTAAATAAGGAAAATTTCGCCCTTCTATCTTCTATAATTTTTGAGCAATGAAGAAAACATAAAAAATTCAGTTTAGAAAACCGCATTTAGAAAATTGCCTTCAGTTAACGGTTTACTGCGTGTGCTCTGAGCAATCGTGAAGTAAGACAGGCACGCAAGCCACATCAACCACATGACAGTTTGGAATCATTTCAAAAGAGCAAGCTACAAAAAGAAGCCCGAAACCGCGGAGACTTTTCAATACGCCCTAATATATACTTCATATAAACGATAAAATGCGTGTACCTGTGATGGCTAAAAAAAATAAGGAAAATGCGTTTTCATTTGAGAAATATACGTGCTTTCTTTTATTTTTCGTATCTAACAAAATGCACATCTATAAGAAACAAAATATAAATAAAAGATACTTAATTTCTAATCGGTTTATCATATTCACAATGAGAAACAATTTACAACCGCTGCTCCTTCCGAAACAAGTTTCACATTTGCAAACTCTCTTGTGCGCCACTTGTTGTGGTTTATGTCATAACGTTCAACTTTGGTTATTGCGAAATTATTATTGCACCGTCACTTTCTACTAGCGAATGCGAATGCCTGGCTTGCGAACTTGGGAGGCATTGGCTCCCATTTATTATGTCGTACTTCAAAACATTCTCCAATAGATGCGTTTTGATTATTATGATTAAGACCACCAGGACAATACAAATAATTACCCCGAGAAACCACATCGCTGCATTTTCGATAATTTGCCAACGAAGACATCGCATACCACAGCCCTTCTCTTGGATCATAACGTTCCAAGTCTGTTTCGCTTCAAACGTTACCAGCACAATAAATACAATTATCTAATATTGCAGCACGAACGTTTTCCGAGTTCGAGATGATAACGGGGCACGAACTTCATTTAGATGTTAAAATGTCATAACTTTCGGCATAGTTATGAACAGCAGCCCCAACACTAGAAATACCGAAATTGTAATGCTTAACCGCCATAGATGGAATATCAGTCCGTGTGTTATTTAACGAATTATAGCTCTGAGCAGTTTTTACAATATAATTATAACGACTCTTACCACCGATCACAAATAATAAACTATGGGACGCTGTGACCTCAGCCTGCAATTTCCTATAGCGCATTGGTGCCATTGAGATCGCATTATTAAAAAACCTCTTTGTACATTCGACACTCTGCGCTGTGCACACTACCAGAAAGAATCACATCGTTTTTGTATACGATTTCTAGTCAACATGTGTCTTTCTTCAGACACAAGATGATATTTCATAGTCTCTATTAGGAAGTGTTTGCTCTGAGCGTCAAAAGGTTCGTTTGCAACATTATTCATCAACGATTTTGCATTAATTGAAGGGAACCGCACATAACACATGCACAGCGCTATTCTGATTAATGACAGTATACTTTAATAGGAATAGCTTAGGGCTTAAGAACTTTTTCGATTCATTTTCCGTTCATATGGGCGGGGTACGCATTTTTTGTTCTGAAGTGAATACAACATGCGCCGTGGCTTTTTCCTTACAACGATTAAAAAAGTGGTTTCAGAATTAAGTTTTGTTATGATGCATGTTGTTAATCATACGCATGTATGATTACTTTTCGTACTTAATGGGACTCTAAAAAATAGTTGATTTAAGAACGTCAATCATACTTGACTTGAACTGAAATTATACCAAGACCTAAGAATATATGCAGATGACGGAGACAATATTTTTAGAACGATACGGCAATAGCTTTAGCACGATTGACGTTCTTAACCGTTTGAGTCCCATGCGAACGCTGAAAAAACACCGTCGAAGAATCACAATCAGCGCGATCGCGCTGTTTAGATTTTATGTCGAGAAAACCCAGACGGTATTGAAATTGCTTAGGATTCTTCCACAGCGTTTTTTTAATACCGTCTGGGTTTTCTCGACATAAAATCTGAACAGCGCGGTCGCGCTCCTTGGAACTCAAACGGTTAAATCAACTATTTTTTAAAGTCTCATTAAGTACGA